TCCTCCTCCTCCTCCTCCATGCCACGGGGCTTCCATCGCGCTTGTAAAAACGGGTGTGGGTGCTTTACTTACTCGGCCGTCGCTTAGGCTCTTGGTCGTGAGCGGCTCCCGCAAGCTTTCGGTCATCGAGGGCCCTCTCACATGTGCTTTGGCCGCAGACGGCCCCTGCCATCTCGCGAGCGAGTCCTGGTACTGGTGGGATCGCTGCTGGCCCCCTGGAGGAGCCCGCGCTGTCCCCGGGCGGGCCCGCGCGCCGCGGTGCCGAGAGGGCACGCAGCCCCCCGATGGGCTGGTCGTCGTGGTACGCGTTTGGCCCCGGCGTGAACCAGTCCCTCATGGCGGCGACGTTTCGCAAGCTGGCCAACAGGAGCGTGGTCCAAGGTGCCCCCTCCCTTCCTCCCTCGCCCTCTCCTTGCCCCGCCCCTCCTCCTGCTCCCCCTCCTCCCCCGGAGTGCATTGCGTTGTTCCCGCCCATCCTGCGGTGTTGGGTCCTCGTTTTGAAGAGACAGCGCCCCGCGCTCTTTTTTCTCTTCCTGCCTGCCCTTCTCCCTGCTCCCACCATCATCACCATCATCATCATCATCATCATCATCATCATCATCATCATCATCATCATCATCATCATCATCATCATCATCATCATCATCAGCATCATCATCATCAGCATCATCATCATCATCATCATCATCATCATCATCATCATCATCAGCATCATCATCATCATCATCAGCATCATCATCCTCATCCTCATGCTCATCCTCATCCTCATCGACATCATCATCCTCATCATCATCACCATCATCATCAACATCAGCAGCAGCATCCGCATCATCAGTTTTCTCAACATCGCCATCATCGTTATCACCATCGACGTCGTCACCATCACCATCACCATCGTCATCATCAGCATCATGACCATGGCCGTCATCATCACCATCATCGTCATAATCATCGCCGTCATCGTCACCATCATCGCCATCAGCTTCGGCGTGCCGCTCACACGTTTCGTGGCTCCATAGGGCGCTCCAGCTAAGGCCCCAGTGGCACCGCCCGCATGTGCACGTCACCCCCCGTTTCGACACACCCCTCACACGTTTAGTGGCCCCACAGGGAGCTCCAGCGAAGGCCCCAGTGGCACCGTCCGCATGTGGGCGTCACCACCGTTTCGACACGCCCCTCACACGTTTAGTGGCTCCGTAGGGCGCTCCAGCAAAGGCCCCAGTGGCACCGCCCGCATGTGGGCGTCACCCCCGTTTCGACACACCCCTCACACGTTTCGGCTTCGTGGCTCCATAGGGCGCTCCAGCTAAGGCCCCAGTGGCACCGCCCGCATGTGCACGTCATCCACGTTTCGGCACACCCTTCACGTGTTTCGTGGCTCCATAGGGAGCTCCAGCTAAGGCCCCAGTGGCACCGTCCGCATGTGGACGTCACCCCCCGTGACTCGCCCCTCGCACGTTTAGTGGCCCCATAGGGAGCTTCAGCTAAGGCCCCAGTGGCACCGTCCGCATGTGGGCGTCACCACCGTTTCGACACGCCCCTCACACGTTAAGTGGCTTCATCGGGAGCTCCAGCTAAGGCCCCAGTGGCACCGCCCGCATTTGGGCGTCACCACCATTTCGCAGGTTTTGTGGCCTCATAGGGAGCTCCAGCTAAGGCACAAGTGGCACCGTCCGTTTGTGGGCGGCACCCCCGTTCTGGCACACACCTCACACGTCTTGTGGTCCCACAGGGAGCTCCAGCGAAGGCCCCAGTGCCACCGCCCGCATGCGTCTGCCACACGCTTTTCTACACACCCTCACGTTTCGTGGCCCCATATGGAGCTCCACCCAAAGCCTCAGTGGCAGGGCCAGCATGCCTCTTACCACACATTCTGGCACACCCTTCACGTTTCGTGGCCCCTAGGGAGTTCCACCGAAGGCCCCAGTGGCAGGGCCCGCATGCCTTCCCACCGCACCCATTTTGGCACACCCCTCACACTCGCCGTGGCCCAATAGGGATTTCACCGATGACCTCAGTGGCAGGGCCGGCATGCCCCCTCACCACAAATTTCGGCACACACTTCACACGCTTCGTGGCTTCATGAGGGGACTCCACCGAAGGCCCAAGTGGCAGGGCCCGCATGTTTCCCCACCACAAGTTGCTGTACACCCCTCACGTTTCGTGGGCCCATAGGGAGCCTCACCGAAGGTCCCGGTGGCGGTGTCCACATGCGCCCGCGCCACCCATTTCGGCGCACCACTCACACGTTTCGTGGCCCCACCGAAGGTCCCAGTGACACCTCCCGCATGCGTCCCCGCCGCGCATTTCGGTACCCCGCTCGCAAGTTTCGTGGCACCAGTGCCACCGCCCGCATGCTAGTGTCTCGCAGTACCTCATGCGTTTTTTGCCTACCATCCTGTGGTGTTGGGTTTTTGTTTTGAAGAGACAGCGCCCCGCGTCTCCTTCCTTCCTCTCGTCCTCTCCTCCTCCCCTGCCCCCTCCCCCTCCTTGCCTGTGCCACATGCATGTGCCTGTTTCGGCACACCCCTCACACGCTTCGGGGCCCCATGGGGCGCTCCACCGAAGGTCCACGTGCCAGCGTTCGCATGCGCCCACCGCGCCCATTTTGGTACACCCCTGAGGCGTTTCGCGGCCCCACAGGGAGCTCCACCGATGGCCCCAGTGGCTGCGTTCGCATGCGCCCACCGCACACATGTTTGGCACACCCCTCACACGCCTCGTGGCTCCATAAAGGGACCCCATCGAGGGCCCAAGTGGTGGCGATCGCCTGCGCCCACCGCACCAATTTCGGCACACCCCTGACACGTGCCGTGGCTCCAGAGGGAGCTCCAACGACGGCCACAGTGGTTGCGTTCGCATGCGCCCACCACACCCTTTTTGGCACACCCTGCACACGTCTCGTGGCTTCATAGGGGGCTCCACCGAGGCTGAGTTCGCATGCGCCCACCGCACGAGTTTGGCACACTCCTCACACGTTCCGTGGCCCCATAAGCGGCTCCACCGAAGGCCCCAGTGGCTGCGTTCGCATGTCCCCGCCGCACCCATTTTCGTCACACCCCTCACGCGTGTCGTGGCCCCATTAAGGGCTCCACTGCAGGCTCCAGTGGCTGCGTTTGCATGCGCCCACCGCACCTATGTCGGCATACCCCTCACACGCTTCGTGGCCCTATAAGGGAACCCTACCGAAGGCCCCAGTGGCTGAGTTCGCATGCGCCCACCGCACCCATTTTGGCATACCCCTCGCACGTTTCGCGGCCCCATGGGGAGTTCCACCGGAGGTCCACATGCTAGCGTTTGCATTCGCCTGCCGCACCCATTTTGGCACACTCCTTCACGCTTCGCGGCTCCATAGAGAGCTCAACCGACGGCCCCAGTTGCTGCGTTCGCATGCGCCCACCGCACCCATTTTGGCACATCCTGCTCACGCTTCGTGGCCCCCAAAGGGGCTCCACCGACGGCCCCAGCGGCTGCGTTCGCTTGCACCCACCGTACCCATTTTGGCACGCCCCTCACATTTCGTGGCCCCATGGGGGGATCCACCGACGGCCCCAGCGGATGCGTTCGCATGCGCCCACCGCACGATTTTGGCAGACCCCTCACACGTTTCATGCCCCACAGGGAGCTCCGCCGATGGCCCAGTAGCTGCCTTCGCATTCGCCCACCGCACCCATTCTGGGACTCCCTTCACACCTTTCGTGGCCCTGTAGGGAGCTTCCGCGATTGCGGTACATACAACGACGCTGCTCACAATTGCGTATGGCTGGGTGTTTCGCCAGGCTGCTTTTTTTGAGTACGGGGCCCCCGGGAGTCCCGACCCTCTCCCCAGGGCCGGCTTTTCGTTGCGAGTCGTTTCTTGACGGCCCCAGGGCCAGGCGAGGGCCTCCAGAGGCTTGAAATGACCAACGACTTTCTGTCGTGGTTTTTCTTGGTTGGTTCACGGCGCGAGAGCATGACCATGTTTGGGCCCTCTTCTTTCTCTGCCTCGTCTCTCCAAGGTGATGGCCGCAGCCTCAGAGACGTCGGGTACGTCTTCGCCAACCTGGACGACGGCTGGCAGGCATTCGAAGCAGAACAAAAACGCCATAGACCTGAACCTTTGGCGCTCCGCGCGGATTTCTTGGATCCGCGCTGGGCCCCCCCAGCGGCGCCTCCGTCGCCCCCCCCTGGCGCGCTCCGCGCGCCAGGGAGAGGGGCCCAGCGCAGATCCAAGAAATCCGCGCGGAGCGCCAGAAGTTACTGTTTATGGCGCCCTTCCTTCTTCCAGGCATGCGGCGGCGGGCAGGGCGGCAGCTTCCACGACGCGGCGGGCGAGCCCGTGGTGGACCGGGCAAGGTTCCCGAACATCTCCGCCATGACGGCACAGGCCCACTCCACCTCGGAGCCGTCTGGGGGTCCGAGGTGGCCAGCAGGAAGGGCGGGCAGGTTCGAGGCGCTGGATTCGAGAAGGTCGTTTGTCTTTTGCGGCCCTCGCAGGCCATTTCCGGGCCCCGGGACGGTGGTGATGCTCTGGGGTCCCAACCAGTTCAGACCCCCCCGACGCCTCCAGCACAGGCCCACTCCATGGGCCTGCTCCCGGGCTTCTACGTCAACAACTACAGCCGAAGAAGAAAAGGCGGCGTGGCCATACGGTCAGGAGCTTAGGCTTGGCGTGTCGCGCCGCTGGTTCTGGCCCACCATGCTTTGGCGCACCACGCAATCCGTGTCCCGGTCCCCCAGGCGTCAAACTCTCGAGTTTTCGCCTGCCTCCCGCCCCGCGGAGGGGAGCGACACACTGTCCTCCCGCAGGGTGTAGCATGTCGCCAGGACCGCCTCCGCGACATGTAAGCAAAGCTTCCAGTCCGTAAACTGTCGAGGGTCCGCCGCGCGTCTGAGAGGGGGTCAAGCGCAGTTCCAAGAAACCTGCGCGGACCCTCGAAGTTAACGTCATGCCGCTTTTACTTCTTCATTGCATCTGCTCTGAGGGCACCCCGCCAGGAGGCGTCGGCGGGAGCACCTACATGCGGAACATGCGCGGCACCGTGAGCTGGCTCGCGCGGAGCGGCTTCGACTACCTCAAGGTCGACAGTGGGGGTGCGTACAACGACATGCAGCTGTGGAGCGACCTCATCGCAGCTTCTGGCCGGCCCATGCTGGTTGAGAACTGCCACCAGGGCCACCTGGAGCCGAACTCGACCTGGTGCCCCTTCGACCTCTTCCGCACCTCGGGTGATGGCCACGTCGTCGGCCTCGACGTCGAGCTGTTCGCCAGCGCGGCTGCGCTGAACCTTGCGCGGCCGGGCTGCTGGGCCTACCCGGACACGCTGGACGCTGGCACCGCGGCTCAGGCTCGTAGCCAGTTTGGCCCCTTCGCGGTTATGTCCGCCCCGCTGGTGCTCAGCTTCGACATCCTGGATGACGACCGGCTCCTTCCCGTTTGGGACGTGCTGACCAACGAGGAGCTTTAGCTGCCCTGAGACGCCCGTTTTGAAACGCAACATGTGCCGTCTTCAAAACGTCAGTGTTTCACACGCTGCGTGTTGACTCGGCACGTTTTGGGCCACGTTTTTGTAAAACAATCGCGCCAGACCTACGTTTGCAGTCTACGTGTTGAGCTCAGTGTCAACACGGTACGTGTTGCGTGTTGCGTATCGGGGCAGCTAAGACGAGGAGGCCATCAGCGTCAACCAGCGCTGGGCCGGTTCCGCCGGCGCGCTGCTGCGCAAGTGGGCGCCCCACGCGGCGGGGGACCCGCTGTACCCCTGGGCGGAGCACTGCCTCGACCGGGAGCCAGTCCAGCGGGGGTGGTCGTACGACGAGACTCGGGGGCTGCTAAGGGTGCCCAATGGTCGAAGACTAGCAAGCTACACAAATGAGTCGGAGGAGGAGGCGGAGGAGTTGGAAGAGGAGGAGGAGGAGGAGGAGGAGGAGGAGGAGGAGGAGGAGGAGGAGGAACGAGGGGGGAGACCCCACGTGACCTTTCGGCGCTCCGTGCGGACTTCTTGGATCGGGGCTGGGGCCCCTGGCGGCGCCTTCGGCGCCGCCCCTGGCCCGCACCGCGCGGCAAAGAGGGTGGCCCCGCGCCGATCCAAGAACTCCGCGCGGACCTCCGAGGAACGATGTGCATGCCGTTCTCCCTCTCGCCCCCTCTTTCGGCCGTTTCCTCTGCCCTTAAGACGGGCACGTCCTTCTATAGGATGAATATTCAAAAATAGTCAACAATTCGTAGGGGGACGATGTTCCCTACTGTTTTGGTTAATTGTTTAAAAGCATTTCTGCACTATTTTAAATGTGTCCTCCAAAATCTGCCTGTAGGGGCACATGCCCGATCTAACGCTACAACGGCACCCCCGTTCAGTTAGCTCCTTGCCAGCGCAGCTGCTCTGCCCAGCCGCCGACGCCCAGAAGAAGTGTATGCCGTTCTCTCTTCCTCCAGAGGTGCCCCCCCCATTCTTCGCCACGCTCTCCAGAGCTCTCCCAGGGCCCTCGTGGGCCTCGTGAGGGGTGTGCTCCGGAGGCCGCGAGGGCCCCCCTCGGAACTCCCGTGGGGACACCTCGGGCTCTAGGGTTAGGTCGTGCCGGCCCGCCTGCAGGCGGATTCCGGGAGGAAAGCGCACAAGAGGTCAAGACATGCTCAGACGTCGCCGACAACAGCCGGAGCATCGTCCCCGTGCTGTTTTTTGCTTGCTCCCTTCTGCCTGGCCCTTCCTCCCGTGGAGGGACCTGCCCGACGCGAGGCCAGGGGCACTCCTGGCAGCGCCCGCGAAGACGGCGGGCCGCGTGGCCTGGGCCGCTCCGGGCTCGGAGGGCACGGCCGCGCCGCGCTGCCTGGCCTCGGACGCCGCGCCCCTGCCGCTGCGGGCCTGCCCGCGCGCCGCGCCCGCCGCCTCCCCCCTGAGGTCCGGCGCCGCCGGCAGGCTGCCACGTCGCGGAAACGGCGGGCTTTTCGGGAGCGCCTCCTCCTCCTCCTCCTCCTCCTCCTCCCTCAAGTCGTGTCTCGGCCCAAGCTGGCATTTGTTTTGCTGGTTCAAGCCGGGAGGCAGCAGGGCGCGTACCGTCGGGAGCAGTCTTGAAGGAGTCTTCTGGAGCATCCCGGCCCGCGACTTGAGGGGCTTTGGCAAAAGTTCCTGCTGTCAGCACAAGAGCACAGGCTTCTACCCGTTTAAACTTGTGTGAGTTTCGGCATATGGTTCAAACGGGGGCTGCGGTGGTGGTGCACCTGGCGGAGCGGGGCTTTCTCATAGTTGTGCACACTTCGGCAGTCATATTTCCTTTTGCGGTCCTGCACATCATGCACGGCATCGCTGGGGGCAGGGCCTGGCCCAGGCCCGAGCGGCAAGTAAGGCAGACGTCTGTGCAGCTTTGGTGGTTGGCATTTGTTCGTTGTCTCAGTGGCATCATTCTGTACATCAGCATTTGTTCAACCATCTGGCCCTTTGTACCTCAATCATGTGGGACATTTGGCTTTTGCGCAGTGGTATATTATTTTACATGGCTGAGCCTGGCCCAGGCCCATGTGGCAAGAAAGGCAGACGGCGGTGGTACGCATTTAGTGGTTTGCATTTTGCTGGCGTTGTCTCGGTGGCCCCACTCTGCTTCGTTGGCAGCTTTTCTGCTATCAATATGTACCCATTGTCTGAATTCACACGTCAAGAGTACTTGCCTTGGTGGTATTTCAGTATCCTCGTTGTGTGTATGCTTGCGGATTGGAAGTTTCGTTCAGAGGTTGTTAACTGCGTGGGTGAACAGACACACGGGCGCCAACAGGGTAAGTTTCACATTGAACGTTAACCGATTTCGGGCGTCTCCACAGCTTGCATTATTCGGGCGTTGTGGGTGGACGGGCAACCTTAACCATAGCCACTGCCTCCCCTACGGCATGATGCTGGAGTCCAACAAGAAGGCCCGCAGGTGACGGGCGGGAGCCCGCGCAGAGTGCGCGGGCACAGGGGCCGCGGCGGCCGAGTCGACTGCGGTGCCCTCTGCTCTCGAGTCCTCGAGTCCTCCTCCTCCTCCTCCTCCTCCTCCGCCTCCTCCTCCTCGCTCCTCCGCCTCGCTCCTCCTCCTCGCTCCTCCTCCTCCTCCTCCTCCTCCTCCTCCTCCTCGCTCGCTCGCTCGCTCGCTCGCTCCTCCTCCTCGCTCCTCCTCCTGCTCCTCCTCCTCCTCCTCCTCCTGCTCCTCCTCGCTCCTTGCTCCTCGCTTTTCGAACGTCGTTCCTCGCTCCTCGCCCAAAGGTCCGAGGATCTGATCTTTTCCATGCGGCGGTTGTTCCCGGATTTCGGCCTCTGGGTCCCGTGATCAGGCCCGGGGGCTATCAAACATGGATCCAGGACGAACCGCCCCGGGCGCAGGGGTCGGGACCTTGGGCCGCGGATTGAAAGCATCACATCGGCGGATGTATGGGGTTGTATCCATGCCATCTGCGTGTTGGAGTTTCGGGCTCCCTTCTAGAGGCGCAGTTCCCTTCCGCCTCCGAGAGGCGGAACGTTGTTTTGTTTGTTTGTTTGTTTGTTTGTTTGTTTGTTTTTCTTTTGTACATCTATCATACATATATATATATATATGTTTGACATGTTTGTTTTTACACCTATGCATATAGCATATGCATGTGCATGTATGTATGTATGTATGGATGTATATATGTATGTATGTATGTATGTATGTATGTGAGTATGTATGTATGTATGTATGTATGAATGAATGAATGAATGAATGAATGTCTGTATGTATGTATGTATGTGTTTATGTATGTATGCATGTATGTATGTATGTATGTATGTATGTATATTTGTATGTATGTATATATGTATGTATGTCTGTATGTATGTATATATGCATGTATGTATGTCTGTCTGTCTGTTTGTATGTATGTATGTATGTATGTATGTACTGTAATGCAATGTAATGGAATGTAATGGAATGTAATGCAATGTAATGTAATGTAATGTAATGTGATGTATTGTAATGTATGTATGTATGTGTGTATGCATGTAGGTATTTATGTATGTATGTATGTTTGTAAGTATGCATGAATATATATATATATATATATATATTTATATATATATATATATATATGTATATATCCACTGCGCCTCGGCGTCTTGGCGCCCCCTTCGAGAAAGTCCAAGACGCAGTGGATATGAAAATAGACAATCCTGCCCGCAGGAACCAGCACAACCCGAGCCAGCCCAGGCCCCATCTCCCTGCGGCACTTTCCTAGCCAGATTCTGGCCCGCGAGGTCGCGTGGATTCGCGTCTGGGAGTCGATGAGCTAGCGCCGATCTGGCGCCGGTCGGCGTCCATTGGCGTCGATCTGGCGTAGATGATCGTCGACTGGCGTTGATTAGCGTCGATCCGCAAGAGCCGACAAGGTGGTATGGGTGGCTCCCATGATCTAGGCCTCCCAGACGGGGTCGGGGTCGGAGGATCGTGCCGCATTGCCGATGCATCGCCGATGCATCGCCGATGCGGCTCGATGCGGAGCCCGATTTGATCTTCGCCGGCGTCGCCGATGTATCGCCGACGTTGCCGATGCATCGGCGATGCGGCGCGATCCTTCGACCCCATCTGGGAGGCCTCTGCACGAGTTGCCGCCGAGACTGGGGCGCCAGGATCTCAGGGTCCGACGACCCGTTGCGCTGGGTGCTGCGGGACGGGCGGCTCTGGCAGGGCGCGCCCGAGGGCGCCGCGCGGGCGCCGCCCATCGCCCCACGGCCGCTGCGCCGCCGCCGAGGGCCACGAGGGGGGCCAGCGGCGCCCGGGCAGGCAGGCCCTCCGGGGGCCTGCAGGGTCGTCAAGGCCAGCGGGGCTCGTTCTCCTCCTCCTCCTCCTCCTCCTCCGCCTCCCTCTCCTCCTCCTCCCTTCTCCTCCTCCTCCTTCTCCTCCTCCTCCCTCCTCCTCCTCTCCTCTTCTCCTCCTCCTCCTCCTCCTTCTCCTCCTCCTCCTCCTCCTCCTCCTCCTTCTCCTCCTCCTCCTCTCCTTCTTCTCCTTACAGCCCCCGTCCCATCCTCCGCCCTGGACCCTGCCCGGCCCTGGCGGCCTTGTCTGCTTCTTCTCTGGCTGCCCCCGTGGCCCCTGAGATTCAAGCGTCGCAACCTTTTCGCACCTGGTCTTTTCGCCACGCTTTGGACCCCGGGACCATCACAGGTTGGCCTGGCTCGAAAAATCAAGCAGAAAGATAGGATCTATGGTTACGGTCGTGATGATTCGCGGTGCTGCATTTCTCCGTGGCGTCGGATCTCAGCGCATGGCGGCGGAGCGGCCATGGCCCGTCACAGGGGATCTGAGGATGGAGCCGTGCAACGTCTCCAGGCCGGGCCAGCGCTGGCGGCTCTCAGCCGCGCCTGGCAGGTCAGCACCGGCCTGAAGCAGATCCATACCCCCAAGACTGGTCTCGCCTCATTTCGGTGCCGATCTAGGTAGTGCGCCCAGTTGTGAGGTCACGTCCCTGAGATTGTCATCGCCTCGGGCATGTCGGTCTTGGGGGTTCAGATGAGCTCGAGGGTGGTTAGGTCCGAGCAGACCGCCGTGCAGAACGACCTGGCCTTCCGCGCGGGAGGGTGCTGGGAGATCACGGCGTGCGCCGAGGTCGCAGAGGGACAACTGCGTGACAGATGTAAGCTCGTCGAAGGGCTGCGCGGATGTCGCGGATCCGCGCGCCAGAGAGGGGGGATCCAGCGCCGATCCAAGAAATCCGCGAGGACCTCCGACAGCACATGGTCATGTGTGTGCTTCACTCTTCCTCGGAGGACGAGCACGCCGAGGTGGGCGTCAACTACGGCTGCAAGGCCCTGCCCCGCCCGGGCTGGGCCGACCCGTGCGAGGCGAACGGAGCGTGGTCCTTCAACGCCAACTTGACGATCACCTCCGTCATGGACGGCAAGTGCCTGCAGGTGGACCCGCGGGACGACACCACGGTGAGCGTGGCGTCGTGCACCGGAGAGGCGAGCCAAAGGTTTCCTCTTGGCTCCCCTCCCCCCCTCCCCCTCCTGTTCGGCATCCTCCCACTCCGCCTGCCGTTCCTTCCCCTTTCTTTTCCTCCTCCTCCTCCTCCTCCTCCTCCCCTTTCTTCCCGTCCTCCTCCTCTTCATCCTTGCTTCTCCAGCTCTCCTCCTCTTGCTCCTCCTGTTTCGCTGTCGCTAGTGGCATTCGATCCGATGACGGTGCTGCCTCCCCCCTCCAGCGGACGTCGCCGCTGGGGTGATTGACAAAGAAGTGAACTGAGGCTGAAGGTGTAGACAGCGCGAAGGAAACGGCGACGACACATGTTCCTTTGGACGATGAAGAGATGGTGCGGGCTGAGCTGGCCGTTGCAACAGGCACTTGGCGGGTGGCTGCTTCCAGCCCGCCCCCCACCACCACCACCTCCTGCTGCTGCTGGCGAGCCTGGCTGGCAGAGGTCGAGTGTGGTGACATTGCTGATCCTCCTCCTCCTCCTCCTCCTCCTCCTGATCCTCCTCCTCCCTCTCCTTCCTGCCTCTCCTCCTCCTGCTTCTCCGCCTCCTCCGCCTCCTCTTTCTCCACCTCCTCCCTCTCCTTCCTGCCTCTCCTCCTCCTTGCCTGCTCCTCCTCCTCTTTCCAGCAGGGCCCGCGTGCTGCGCCGACCCCTTCCTGCGGCGGCCGCCGGCCCTCGGCAAGCTCCTTGCTCAGAGCGCGGAGAAGACGCTCCCCCCTCCTCCCTCCTCTCTCCGTCTCCCCGACTCCTCGCGATCGTTCTCCTCCTCCCCTCTGCGCCGGGAGAGCGCTGTGTTATTCCCAGGCGATCATGGGCAGGGCAGGACCTAAACGGCGTTTTGGCGATTTCGTGGGCCGTTTTCGTTTCGACTCCGCTTTGCAGTCAAGGCGAATTGAAGACAAAACGAGGGACATCGAAAACAAAACGAAAACGAAAAACACCGTTTAGGTTCAGCCCTGATCATGTGCGTCACCGGGGGGGAGGGGAGGGGGGGTGGGCGGGGGGCCAGCAACGTCACGCTTCGCGCCAGCGCCGTCTGGGAATGTTTCAGGTCAGGAGTAACCGAAGTCACCTCGGAGGTCAGCACGAATCTGGATGTCGTTACCTGTGGGGGGGGGAATGGGGCGGCCGGGGCCAGTAACCCGCTATCGCAGAACATGGGAACACGATCTCCCATTGATTGGAGCATGCCTGCGATTAGATACACTGGCACAGTTGGGAGCAAGCCCTCTTCCAGCACGTGCAGCGAAAGGGCCCCGACCCCTTCGCGCTGCCCCTCAGGGGCCCGTTGCCCAGCCGGCCGGCGGACTCGGCGCACTTCGCTCCCCGCTCCGCTCCCCCGCGGCAGCCTCTCTTGTGCTCCGTGCTGCGGGTCGGTGCGCCGCAGGGGCCGACACCCTCGCTGCTGCTGCTTCTCTTCTCCTCCAGGTCCCGTCCGTAGCCATTTTGGCTCAAGAGCGGCTCAGGTTGTCGCCGCCGATCCAGCAGCAGTCGTCAGCGCCCCTCTCCGCAGGGCCAGCCATGGGGGCCAACAAGGTCGTGCAGAAGTCCAAGGAGGCCAAGATGAAGGCCGCCATGGCCGGCGGCAAGTCCAAGAAGAAGAAGTGGAGCAAGGGCAAGGTCAAGGAGAAGCTGGCCAACCTGGTCATGTTTGACCAGGCCACGTACGACAAGATGCTGAAGGAGATTCCGAAGGCGAAGCTCATCACCACCGCCATCGTGAGCGAGAGGCTGAAGGTGAACGGCTCGGTGGCGCGCCAGGCCATCCGCCACCTGGAGGAGAAGGACCTGATCCAGCCCGTGGGCGAGAGGAGCTCCAGCATGCTGATCTACACGCGCAAGATCGGGGCGGGCGACTGAGCGCCAGCGACGCGCGCACAGAGGCGACCTGAGGGGCTGCGAGCGTCGGCTTCGCCGCGGCGCCTCCTTTCTCCTCCTCCGTCTTCCCTCCTCCCCCTCCTCTTCCTTGGAGGAGGAGGAGGGCAGACGGAGGAGGATGGGGGAAAGAGGAGGGAGGACGGAGGAGGGGGTATGCTCGGGAAGATCGGGGAAGAGGAGGAGGAGGAGGAGCAGGAGCAGGAGGAG